CGGCTTGTTACGTGCGCTCAGTCTTGTGGGTATAACTCCTAATGCCTACCCAAACACCCTGCTATGCATCATATCATGAAACGTAATCCTCTACTTATGAGGCAGACACTCGTGCTGTTGCTGCGAGGCAACAATCATCCCGAGTATTTCTTGGCCTCCATACCCTCGGGTGGTTCGGGAGTTATGGTCTTGTTGCCAACGTTACTCCAGTCGGTACTAAGGACTGTGCCACCGCTTTCCGAGTAGCTCTTCATCATAGCTCGTTGCTGCTCGGGGGTGGCGCCGCTGTACAGCTGCTTGAAGAAGTGTGATGTCTCGTCGCCCTCAATCTCGTCTTTGTCGTCGAGATCGTTGACCACGACCTTATCCCAATTCTTCGCACCTGACTTGGAGGACGTTGGGTATGCAGGGGCGGCGTCTTTGGTTGGGCGGACGGGCAGAGAAATAGTGGATGCTTCAGCAGAGCCAACGTCGCCGTCGGGGTGCTCAAGATCATGCCATTTCAGCCCCGTGGTTGCCTTGCGCATTGTTATCTCCAACTTGGTGGGTGTGACTCGATATTTCGATTGTGAAGGGTCGATCTTTTCGTATAGAGGGTCGGCGCTGTAGCTGTAATCCGACGAGTCGGCAGTAGGGAATGCGACGGACACGGATCTCTCCTCGAATTCTACGCTGACTTTGTCTTTGGCCACACCCTTGGCCATGATTGTGAGGGTAACAGTTTCAGGCGACTGGTACCAATCCGTCTTGATTTTGTCTTTCGGGGTTGGGGCGACAGGCTTCGGGGCCTGGGACGGGGTGGGCTGCTCGGCCTTCGCTGGGGCGGCAGAGACTGGTGCGCTGGGTACATCGACTTCCGGAGTCTCCTTGACGGTGACCTTCCTCATCTCGTCGTCTTCTGGTACATCTTTCAGCTTTGTTGCAACCTTGGACTCCCAGATGGGCAGCATCTTGTCCTTCTCGTCAAGGCCCCTAACGATTTTCAGCAGATGGTCGGCATCCGCGTATCTTCCGACGTGGAACAGAGCGACGGCGCGTCGGAACTGAGCGTCCTTGATGAGCTCGCGCGAGCCGCGTTTCTTTGCGAGGACGACGGCGAGTTCGGCATCGCTGAGGGATTCGGCGTATTTGGCAGTGCGCTGGTAGGCTGTCGCGCGGCCGATGTAGTACTTGACGGCCGTGGTGTTGACTGCGAGCGCCTTGGTGTAGTGTTCAATCGCTTCGTCGGGTTTGCTTGCGCTGAGAGCAGCGTCGCCTTTGCGGGCGTCGTCCATGGCGGGGTAAGGTCTAGTTGAGCGGAAGAATAGGCGTGGAAACAATATAAAGCGGGGTAAGAGGTGCGACGGCTTTTATAGAGGCTTGCTCTCGAATGTTGGTGAAAGTAGTTGGTCTTGGTACAATCACAACCATGGAAGCTTCCATTACTGCCTTCGAGAACCAGGGTCCACGCCGCTAGCCTCTCTGCATCGCATCCACATTGGTGGGGTCATATTTGACAGGCACACTTCGCCGACGCCAGCAAACATCAACTAGTCGACATTCACTTTCAGAAGTCAGACTAATTGTTCGAGGAACGAGCAGCATGTTCATGTATGTATGTATTACTACACAAAAGACCCCGCATCTGTGACGACCGAGGTATATACAATGCCGACTATGGCAGTCAAAAACTCCAGAAACAAGTAAAAAGATTCTTCTACATCTATCCCATATGCAGCTCACAGAAAGACACAAGCTTTACACATCTCAGCAACGAGCCACCTAGAATACAATGGCGGCACCGAAGAGAGCGCTGGCAGCGATCATTGCGACGAAACGGAGGGGTACGTCGAGACCAGCAGCAGCACCCTCGGGGTTGCCAGCACCGCCGCTGGAGCCAGGAGTGGGCGAGCGAGTGGGGCTTCCAGATCCGGGGGTAGCAGTAGACTCGCTGGGTTCACCAGAGAAGTGCGAGCCATCGCCCTCGAGACCAGGACCCTCACCGGCACCTTCATCCATGAACGCCATAGCCTTGCTGGGAATGGCAGGGAGCGTGGTGCCCTCGACTTGCCACTCGTCAGACTCGGAAGGGCACTCAGAGGCCTCGCCGTTCTCCTTGAAGCCACCAGCGCCGGAGGGGTTAGCAGTCTTCTTGTAAGCCTCAGCGAGGCGCTCGAAGTCCTCGTTGGGCGAGATTTTGCCATCGTCGCCGACCTCGACAAGACCGTAACCGTTGGGCTCAACAGTGTATTCGTAAGCGAGACCACCAGAGTAGACACCGGTCATGTTGGTGGAGTAGAGAGCCTCGATCTCGCCCCACTGACGGGTGTTGGTGATGCAGCCGAACTCAGACAGGAAGATGGGCTTGCTGTAGTCCTCGTAGGTCTTGACCTTCTGGTCCCATCCAGACTGGGTGAAAGACGAGGGGTCGCACCAGGAGTAGTCGTTGAAGGCAAAGAAGTCGGAGCGCTCATCGTCAGTACCGCAGTTGAAGTAGAGAGCCTGGAACTCAATGTTCTCCGAAACATCAGCGGCAGAGTATCCGACAGGAATGACACGGTTGTGCCTGTTGGAGATGTACTGCTTCATGTCACGAGTGACAGCCTTGATGTAAGGAGCAGCGTTGGTGTTGTTCTTCGCGTTGATGACCTCGTTTCCGGAAAAGAAGAGGAGCAGGTTGTTGTAGTCGGCAAAGGCGTCGATGGTGGCAAAGACGGACTGGAGGTACACATCGTTGTACGAGCGGTGGAGGGTGTCCTCGTTCTCACGGTTGAGAGAGTAGTCGGGCGTGTTGGCATCGAGCGCCAGGTAGATACCAGCGTCGTCGAGCATCTTCATACCCTCATCGTGGTTCTTTGAGTTGTCGATGGTGTAGATACGGACAGTGTTGATGCCGAGCGACTTGAAGTTCTCGACATCGCGTGCGAGACCCTCGAGGTCGAGCAGAGGGTCTTGTGCGTCGGCGGCACCACCTAAACACTGTTAGTACCGTGGTTTTTTATTCCTTGTGACACAAAGACGGACCTGGCTGGTAGGCAACGCCACGGACGTAGAAACGCTCATCGCCGGCGAAGAAGGCATTGCCCTTGACGGTGACCGGTGGCAGCTTTCCCTTTGACTGACGGGCGACGACGCTGGCAAAGGCGGGAGCAATAGCGGCTCCCAAGATGGAGAAGACGACAGAGGTCTTCATGACGGGCGCAGGAGAAGAGGTAGAATTAAAAGGCAAATAGAAGAGCGATTGGAAGTCTAACGAGTGACTGGTAAAGTAGGAAAGGTAATTCTCACACAAAGGGCATGCAAACGTCGAGGCGGAAGCCGGGCTAGCGACAGTATTTGAAGCGGCAACAGAGCAATTTCTTGGTTACCCCCGAGTGCTACATGTGGAACTTGCCAACCCTCATGGGTTGTCTGGCGCTGCTGCGCGCCAAGTCGATGGGTGTTGGCGGGCGCGCAGGAATCGCGGAGACCAAGCAGCCAAGTCCATAGTCATGAATTAGCAGAAGCCCGCCGAGCCTTGGTCAGGGGCAATAAGCCGAATGACTGGCAGGCGCATGCCTGGACGACGTCTTGATCGCGAGGGAATTGCGCGTCCGTCCATTTCCCGCCGCTCTACACAGCCTCGTTGAGAGAATCAAGACTTTGTTCGCTCCAGCACAATCTGCTGGTTCGAGGCGATCGCGATGGTGTGAAACGACTGCGCGCTTGGTCCTCACCAAGGAAATCACGGCCATCGCATTCCGAAAGCGCTTGGTGGAGGACGCGGTACCGTGGAAGGCCCTTTGCTGACGGCATCATTGCAGCTATGCACAGACTTCAGCTTCATTGCGATGCCACTGTTAGTTCACCATCGTCGCGCGACGGCATTGTTTGCCGGGTCGCAGTCACGCTTTATCGCGGCCCGTGGAGATCCGAACTCGGGGAGTGTAGCTGCAGGTGGCAAAAAGCAGCTCGTCCATCTACCCGCGCAGTGCGGGCATACGAATTGTTAAGGTCGGTAGGCGAAGTATGGTTCTGTGGTGTTTGTGAGTCGCTGGTTGCAGCGTGACAGCTGCCGCATCCGGGGCCCCAGCCCCGATAAGATGATCCGCCCGGTCGCGCGGTTCCGACACGCGTTCGCTCTTGTCTACCACCGCTCACCAATACTACCCTAGGTACATATCACAATCATCTCACGAGCGAGCAGATTCTCACATTAAACACCGAAGCGTCTTCAGTGCCCGGGTTAGGTCACCGACTGTCTGAGACAATCTGCCAAGCTCGGCCACAGCAATCTGCCGCAACAAGCAATGGCACCGAAGAATCCTGCGACGAGAAGTAATGCCTCCGCCAGCCGTCAATGCTCCAGACAGCCGACCTCGATAGCTGTGCTCTTCATCTCTCGGGCTCTGACTACCGCTTGTGTTTGAATTAGCTCTGCGTGCTGACGAAGTTTCTTTCGATTCCAGACCATGTCTGTTCAGGTCGATGTCAGCCCTGCAAAGAGATGGACAGGCTTACTTCGAGACAATCAAAGCTACCACTACGATCTTGACACGACAGAAACTCGGTCTATACGGGACTAATCTTATGGGGTTGTAGGTTGCGCCGTCATTATTGGCTACGATTCCAATTAATACACGCAGACGCAGACGTATCCATGGATATTTCTGGTATTATTTGCCGACCCCATAAGTTCATGCCATGATGATGAACCAAAAATACCGCCGTGTCTGCTGCATCGTCGCGCCAACTATAGTTTCATGTGCTTGCGCGCCTCCAAAGAGCAGCCGAGCTGCATGCGCACCCTGGTCGCATCGTCGCCGTCAGCGAACCACAACGGAACTGCAGGCGCCACACGAGCTATTATCCAGCGGCGAGGTTTTCGACCCCAATTATGTAGCAAAAACGCGCAGTCGGGTTAAGTGAAGGCAAATGGGCGCAATATATTGCGGCGAGGACAAAGGATCCGCTCGGGCGGGTGCGAGGTGATAAAGAACTCCCTTACCCGTGCCTCTGCGGGTCACTCACCAACCGCCAAAATGCTTCGAACAATGCTCTCCACGTCGCTGCCGCTTCTGACGGCGGCGGCGTATCTAGACCCCTCGCTGCAACAGCAAAAGCCGTTGCTAGACTCCAAACCAGCGTCCTCCGATGTGGTCACTCTCACAGTATGTCGAGAACAACCGATCTTATCGCGGTATCGACTAACGTCCTAGCAGCTGGACCAAAATCTTCACTACATCATCACTACCTCCTCTGGTTATGTCTGGCCTACCCGTCTCGATCATCTCCAAGCCCCGGCAGCTGCATTCAGCATCAAAGAGACCGTCCACAACGCCATCACCATCAACATCCCCTCCAATCCTTCGCTCACGGGTACCGCTACATTCTTCACTACACCTAAATCGGAACTATGGTCCCAGTCTACCAATCAGTTCACATGGACCCCACATCTAACACTGCACTCCGGGGGCATGCTCGGCGCACGCATCCCCATACTAGGCATTGGCATCAGGAAGGATGGTATGCTTACCATGCCTGCTCAATCCGCGACTCTCGATCTAAGCACACCCTACATATACGTCCCGAAGGGTATCTGGGACGTCTTGCTGCTAGCTACGACTACCGAACAGCAAGCCAGGGACGAAGAGGAGGTGCTGTACGTGGACTGTGGAGCATTGGACGTTTTCCCTGATCTTGTTTTCGGAATGGGACCAAGAGACTGCAGAGGCGATGAGGAGATGGTAGTAGACGAGGAGGAGGATGAGGATTATGACGAGGAAGAAGAAGAATACGGAGAGCTGGTTATCACACCCGATCAGTACGTCTTGCAGACCTCAGAAGGGAAATGCATGCTTCTGGCTAGGAACGCAGACGCAGACTCTCCTCCTGATGTACAGGGAACAGTCAGTCTTGGTTGGGCCGCGGTGAGGGGTCGCGAAGTCATACTGGATCGGCATGTTGGACGCATTGGCTTCGAAAGGCCAGTATGAGAATGCAGAAGGCGGAAGAAGAACTAGCGTTGGATACCCACATGATGAGATTCATGTCCGCAACTCTCGTAGTAAATTTCAGAAGAGAGTAACTGAGCCTCAATTCAACCGCATGACGACGTCGATACTGTTCGTGGTGACCTGGACATGACAACATGGACAACAGCAGAATTCGCACATCATAGACGGCAAGGCATAACATTATGCAAGCTAGCTCTATACAAGTCGTACCCTCTACATCAAGCAGAAGCTGAGCGTGACCGCGCCAACAGTCGCAAGCAGGCCCGTCCACCCGACTCTAAGCCCACTTGCTGCATCCTCATCATCACCTCCTTGTGCACTTCCATCGCCTGTGCTTTCAGGGTTAGAATCACCCTTACCCTGCTGCTGATCCGAGCTCGTTACACTGCCCGCTACACAAGCGCTCTCATCCATGCCTCCATCATTACCAAACGCCACGTTCGCCGCCTTCTCCCACAGACTCGTCACATTGAAGTAATGCCCCGGCTCATACCAGATCCGGCAACTTGCTGTGTCGTTCAGGAACTGTGTTGGCACGCCCGCCGACTCGAAGCCCGCGCGGATGTTGTCTTGGAAGTTTACGCTGGCGTCCATCACGGCGATGGGCGGGGCTGTGGGAAGGAATTGAGCCCAGTCGTTGGCTTCTGAGCGGGAAGAGGCGAATTCAGCGGTTACGTATGTGGTAAGGGCTTCCATGTAAAGAGTAGGGATCACCAACGTTCCCTTTGTGCCGCCAACGGCTACCATGGGACCGAGGTTCGGACGGCCACCGATAGCGAGACTGCGTACGCCAGATTGCTGGACCATGAGTTCGACGAAGATGGAGCAGGTTGAGGCGCAGACGCCGTCGGTAAGCAAGATGATGTCTTCGGCGCGGAAGGGGTCCGTGGTGAAGTTGCTGCGCTCGTTGTAGCCTGTCATGGTGATGCCGACGGCGGTGCGCTCGCTGCTTGTCGTCAAGGGGTCACTGAGGTTGTATTTCAGTAGAGCAGTAAACTTGTCGTTATTGAATCGCTCAGGTGGGTACATTGCGTTCCAGTCCGAAAATTCGTCGCCAGTGGAAGAGAGGTAGGCGTCGTTGCTGAAAGGGCTCGTGAAGAGTTCGGCATTGAGAATATTGATCTGCTTGAAGCTCGAGATATTCTCACCGAAGACCTCGCTGGCTCGGTGTCCACGGTACCGGTTTTGGGTCTGTGGTTGTTGGGTCGGGAAGAATTGCAGGTACATGTCGTAACCAGAGAGTACCTTGCCGCCGTTGTTGGCACGTAGATCAATGATGATCTTCTCTACGCCGCGGGACTTGGCTTCAGAAATGTACTCCTGAACTACGGCTTGGAACTCCTGGGCACCTGCGACATCTTCTGTGTTGAAAGTCGTCACCACCAATACACCAATCTCGCCAACACCGGTGTTGACGAAGAAGCCAGCCAACGGCACCTGATCTGCCGAGTGAGCGACGACTGGTTCCGGGTAAAGCAACGGCACCGAAGCGTGTTGTTGCGCGAAAGTACCCCTAAACTCGTAGTCGCGCGGATTCTCCAGATGTAGAGGCATCTTGGTAGGATCCCTCTTCTTGATCCTCATCGAGCTTGTCTGGGGTACAATGTAGGTCTTGTACAACGATTCAGCATCGCTAACGTAGCCCCAAGACTCGGGTTGAAGGACAAGAGCACCGTTGCTGTACGTATTGATCGTGCCGTTCTCATAAGTTACGTTGGTAGTAGCACCGGGATAAAACCTTGGACTGGTGAAATACCCATAGTTCTCCGCTGCTTGCGAGAAAAACATTGCGTTGTAACGCGAATCAGGATCATGGTAGGCGTTCAAGTTTGCTTCGTCCTGCAGAAAGCTCTCGACATCTCTTCCGTCGATTTGCGTAACGGGCGAGGGATCATACCCAACTGTGCCGTTGAAGTCCTCCAAAGCCCAGACTTGGGGTACGTCGCTACCATCTCTTGATGCAGAAACAAGGGCAAAAGCGCTGCTTCGTCGCCACCTGAATATCCCTGCGTACGCCATTCCGTTCCAGCCCAAATGCCCGTCGTGCGCTTTTACCAACAAGGATGCAATGTCGGTCTCGAAATCAAATTCGTTATTGTACTGCCCAGATCCGACTTTGTTTTTGATATCATCCAGACCAGCGACGATGTCAACAGCGTCATTTGGCCATCCTTTTGGCGGGTCTTTGAGATAGCTGAGAGTCGATTGGAACTCTACTCCCTTCTTGATCTCGTCGATTGTTGCTGATGCGTCGTCTGCGTAGAATGGTAGTGATTTGAGACAAGCGTGTGCGAGTTCAGCATCTACGGCCGGAAAGTCTGAGAAATCATCCGATACCAACTGCGCTATCTGTCCACAGGCTTCGCTGGTCTCTATTGGTCCAGAGACATCCTCTATAGTCGTGGGATTGACTTCGATGTCATCTATTGATGATGGTGTTGGTGTTGATGTAGGTACGATGTCGAAGGTTTGTGAGGAGTCGCTGAAGTCTATCGAACTTGTCTGTGCCGTGGCAACTACCAGGAGCGCTGATAGCGCAATGAAGGACCTCATGATACCGGAATAATGCGGGGTGTATAGTGTGATGTCCAAAGGTTCGGAATACGAATACGGAGCGATCAGGTGTCTGATCGTTCAACACGTAGGGCGTTGTGGATGTAACGTGGTCAAGTCTCGCGTCTGATCCGTCTCTTTTGTCGTCTTGTTCTAGATATAACAATAGCTTGGGATGCCACCCCAACCCGTATATCGTGTCCGATCTTGTTCGTTGGTGTTTCGTGAACCGCCGTCAATATATATTCTCAGAAGCGGCCAAGATCTGTGCGGGTATGCCTCGATATCCTGCGATACACGCTCCTCGACCCAGCTCTTTCTATCCAGCTTTGGAAAAAGTCGCGAGCAGCCTCAACACGTGGGCACCGTCGCCATCTTAATCACAACGCGCATTGCATAGCCTTGTCACCTGTAAGGCCATAAACAGTAGCGGCCGCTGCCTAAACAGCGCCCCCATCTCGTGTACGTCTGCCGCGCTTTGTTTAGGTCTTGGCTGTAAGGACCCTGCGCGTTGCCCGCCTTACGCGTGTCGCTCAAAGTAGGCTGGCGTTGTGGCATCTGGGTGTACTGAGCAAATCAGACGAGGAAACATGGGACGGAAGTGGATATCTGCGGGTAAGCGGAGTACTGTGAGTGGATTCTGTCGCAGCGGCTAAATCCTGTGGCGCTGCCCTCCTGCGGCGCTGCATTTCGATATGAAAACCCCGGTATTTGTGTTTCATGCTCGTCGGATTTGTGATTTCGTAGGTGTTGGTGCTCGTGAGGCTGAGTGCTGTTGTGATCGCTTGTATCTCCTGAGTGTTTTCGGTAGCGACTGCTTTCTCTGCTATGCGCACCTCGCATGCCAAGGATTAGGCACGCCCACTAAAAGCGCACGATCCGGCCACGATCCGAGAAGGGCTAGACGCCGCAACCCAGCCATTCGGCACAGTCTCAGCCGACTGGTGAGGTCATGTCTTGCGACGGCACGCCGAATCGTGTATGAGCTGAGAATGCGCGCAATTGTGCCGTCGGCTTGGGGGCCTTGGAGTGTGACGTCTAGTTTTTGTGGACGCCCGGCACGCTCAAGGCACATTGCTCATAAGGGCTCACCACGAGAAACGGTGCCAGGCTTGCAGTAATTTCACTGACGACTCATGTCGAACGAGTTGTGCGAATTTGACTGAACCGGCCATCTCATTGACTAGAGCTGTGCATATCGCTCTGCTTCTTGATACCTACGACGACAAGGTTGCGCGGACTGTACTTGTATTCAAACACGGGTTCAACCCACGCATGTTCAACTTCTTCCTGCTCCTTGAGCCACAAGTATCGATCTGTCACGACGACAGCTTCGACTACGCCAGCGCTGAAGGCCATCAAGCTCCACATGACGCTCAATTCTTTCTTTCTCTCAGCATAGCTGACTTCGTAATTCCTGATGTCTTCATCTGTCAAACCATCCATTTTTTCTCTTATGAACTCAGGATCAACCTGACAGAAAGAATTCTCTGTTGTGAGTTTCGCTAGCGCAGCTCGAACGTAGGAGACGAAATCGCTGTATGCAAATTTGCGCAATGTGCCTATAGTGAGGGGCGTGGTTGTACCGTCCGAAGATAGGCCAGGGCCACGACCGTTTGGAGGGGTCCAGTTCACTTGCGAGGTGTGACCATTAGCTGAGACTGCGCTGCCAACAAGGCCTTGCTCGTCTAAAGGTGCCGAAACGACGCCACGATCTAGGAAGATGCGCTGGAGTAGAGCTCGATAAAAGTGGCGAGTGAAGAAGAGTTCTGAGTCGGCCACGCCCCAGTTGAAAGGTGCCTGCACAGCCATCATGCGGGCTGTGATGTTGAGACGTATACCCTTTGGTCGTTCAGGGTTGCCAGTATCTGCTTCCGAGCCGTCATCTGACCGTTCCAGAGGTGTATGTGGCAATGGGTAATTTGCGAGTTTCTCTGACATGGGAAATCCGTTTGGGTCAAACGCTTTGGAGGTAGACTCGAGGCGTGGATGATTAGGACGGAGTGTAGGGAGCTTATAAGTAGGAGGTCCAAGACGTTCCGTGACCAGATTGTAACAACACCCTACCATGGCTACTGCGGAAATATGTGGGTTGAGAAGCATGGAGCGTAGTCCGAAATGAACGAGATTGCCGCATGAGTGCAGCGAAATGACCATTGCGTTTACATCCTTTGGTTTGGGTACAACGTTCAAGTCAGTAGCTTCGGCGACCACGGCTGTTTCTGAGGTCACCGCCTCTTCGGGTACGCTAGAGCTGTCCAGTACTTGATCGATGACAGGTGTCAGATCACCACCCTTAATGATGTGTTCAACGTACTGTACGCTGCCATGGCCTTCATTGTATATTTGTAGAGTAGAAGTCTTGGTAGTCGGAACGGGATCTGAGGCGGCTTCCGAAACTGGATGCGGTGCGCAGCCATCTTCAT